CCCCCAGATTTCCCACAGCCACCACTATCCTCCCCACTTGCTATGTGGTCCCACGTCTCATGCTTTTTCCCCCAGCACGCCCTTCATAGTCGAACGCCAGAGAACTGAATGGAACCGGTGATGCTTCTATGGATCAGGAGTGTATAAAACGATGAGTACTCAGGTGTGCTGGATGGATGAAAGGGGCCCGTGGGTGGTGTAGACTGCTAAGCGCTCAGCTACTAACCAAAAAACTGGAGATTCAAAGCCACTGGGGCTGATGGTCTGCTTCAACAGGCCACAGCCTGGCAAACCCTTGCACCTCCTGCAATGAAACACACTGGGAAAGAGACCACTCAAGGGGCCCAGTTTGCTTTTCAACACCTATGTCCAAATCTGAGCTGACTGTCCCTGAGGGCCCACTGCCCAAACCAAAGCACACAGGTAAGAAGTCAAAATGTGGTCAGGAATAAACGCAAACTCACAAAGCAAGAGACAATACGGAAACATTCACAGAGTAAAACTGCACTGGGGAGCACAGGTGAGTTGAAGTCACAGGCAACCGGTTTGCTTTCAGTGGAGGTTTCTCCGTTGTTTGTTTGTTTGAGGGGCTCGATGGGGGAAGCATGTAAACCCCACAGCAGAGCTTCCCCAGACTCCTACCAGGAAACAGCTATTCCTGTTTGGAGGAGCTTGCATTTCCAGAGAAGTTGAGTACAGGGTTGATGTGCTCGTCTCCCTTCCTTCAGGCAGGCTACTGCCTGACCCAAAGGACCCCAGGAGTTCCACCCTGGACCGCCCAAACCAAAACCAAACTCACTGCCACCCAGTCAGGTTTGACCCATGGCAACCCTACAGGATGGACCAGAGGGTTTCAGAGGCTGCAAAGCCTTATGGGGGCAGAAAACCTCCTTTTTCTACCTCCGATCAACTAGGGGGTTTGAACCACTGACCTTTCATTCAGCAAGCCAACTGGTAACCCACTAAGCCACCAGGGTTCCATCTGGAAGGACGGTGATTAGGTTAATTCCCCAAACTTCCTGTTACCAGGGAACCAAACAAAATTAATCACCCCCCAACGTCACCAAAGTTTGACTGGAACTAAAACAATTGAAACGTAATCAGCATGCATGCCAAGGGTTATTCTAATTGGAGTCCGTGAGAAAAAAATGTGATTCCATGACTCTCAAGGTCTTGAGACTTTGGAGCTTAAGGGATGAGGACTTCCTAAAGCCTGGGGAAGAAGGTCAGAGAAGGAACTGAGTCCGTGAGCACTGGAGCGGGTCTTCAGCAGATTTCCCAGGGCAGGGTGCCCTGGAGGACAGATCCCCAGGGAAGAGTCACGATAGATTTCGTGACTACCAAATAAGAGATCGAGAGCCAAGGAGATTTAAATGGTCAGATTTACTTTCTTTTCTTTTTTTTTTCTTCAGATTTACTTTCTCAGTTAACCAGAGGAACCAGAAATCAGATCAGCAAGCCTGGAGAGAGGCAAAAGGAAGTGGAATGGAAATTGCCGAATGGCATGTTTGTGTCTCCGTGGGCAATCGGGAGAAAAGTCAATCAGCATGCACGGCCTTCCGCTTGCCTGTGACAAGCTCCCCTAAATTCTTGCAAGCCGGTCATTACATAGGGCCATTCTTAAAAATTAAATTACATAAATCTACCATGAAATAAATTACATTAACAACAAAGGTGATAAATATACAAAGCTCACCCTTCCTAAATGTTTGACTACTGTTAACTACTTGGAGCTCAAGGGGTCCAGTGTTTAAAGTGTTCAGCTACTAACTGAAAGGTTAGTGGTTCGAACCTACCAGCTGCCCCTCTGGAGAAAAAGATGTGGCAGTCTGCTTCCCTAAAGATGCCTGATGTGGAAGCCTTACGGCCTCTGGGTGGCTCTGAGTTGGAATCCACTTGATCGCAATGTGTTGGTTTGTTTTGCTGTTTTTTTCATGCTCTTGGTGGTTTTGACTTTTGTTTTGTTTTCACCATCATCTAAGCTCTAGATGAAGGCTACACATACTTCTACCTACTTAACACTTACCGGTTCTCTTGTTACATGACATTTCACAACCGTACAAAAGTACTATTCCATTATGTTGTGTATAAACAGTGCACACCTGGCGATAGTGAACGCTGAGGTGAGAGGCAAGAATACTGGCTGTGAAAATCAAAGTTCGTGTCAGCTTGGCTGGGCTAGGATTCTCAGTGGTTTGTAAGTGGCATAATGCAATGAACGCCTCTGTGTTGTGACCTGACGCAATCAGCCTCCATTTTTACATCAGGCCAACTTCACCTAAGGGCCTGATCTTTGGATCCTAACCACTTCAGTAAATGAAGAATGCATGTAGTGTGTGCCCGGTGGAATACTGTACAGCACGGAGTTGCTGTGCATTTCTCCCAGCTCCAGGCAGGGTGGCATCCCACTGGTAGCTTGAAATGGCCCACTGGTGGGAAGTATGGCCATCCCAGAAACGAACAAAGGCCACACATTCTGGCTTGTCCACTCCCACCACCACCACCACCCCTTCACATCAAAGCCAACTGTCAAGTAGTTACCACCACATGCGTTCTCCTTCAACACTGGACAAGGTTTAGTGCTGAAGAAATGACCAAAAAGGACCAAAGCATCCTTGAAGCAGAACATTGGAGCAGAAACTTCCCCCCTCCATCACCCTGGGGTGGTGTCAGGACAATGACATGATCTCAGCCTTAGATTTAGGAACATCCCTGGTTTCCCTCGTGAGTCATCCTAACAGGAAGTTATCTCGGAGTCTCTCTAAAATCTCTCTTGCTGCTTTTTTTTGAATGTTTCTTGTCAGAGCCTCAGTGTCGTCACCCCTCAAATGAGGGTTAAGTCTGAGCATGGTTCCCTGGCTTCTGGAATGGGGAAGATGATGTCACTCAACACAACCTGTAGAGCCAGTTACCTGCCTAGCTCCTCACCACCTGGCAGGAGGCTGAGCTGGAAGTTCCTCAGAGAGGGCCCTCTCAAATCATCCTATTCAGTCTCCTGTCTGAGGGCAAAAAGTGTGCCAATCAGGGTGCCCTGATGAAGAGCTAACTATCTGTGAACCTTATTACACCTAACACACAGTCCCTTCCTGCTGATTCCAACTCATGGTGGGCCCGTGTGTGTTGGAGAACTGTGCTCCAAAGGATTTCCAAGGACATGACCTTGGGAAGCAGATTATCTGGTATTTCTTCCGAGGCATTTCTGAGCAGGTGGTGCCTACTAACTTTTCAGTTAGTATTCAGGAGCTTTAACCATTGTGTCGCCCAGGTTGATAACACCCAATTGGTCTTCATACACAAGGTGGCCAGAAAAATGAAGGAATTGATGCTCCTGGAGGCCTCCCCACCCACCTCCTCCACCAACTCACCCATCCCAAAGGAGGGCTCCTTCCCTCATTCCAAGCAGATGTTCCTGGCTCTCTCTGACTTACCATCATTTCCCCTTACCACTTCCCAAGTTTGACCAGCTTGTCCTCCCAGAGACAAGAGACCAGGACAGAAGGAAGAGCCTGGATGCTCCATAGGTAGGTGTCTGAGCAGAAATATCTAGAACTGAGACATCTCTAAGTACCATGGTCTTCAGAAGGCTTCCAGACTCCCTCCTCGGTGTACCTATTGCTACTGACCTGTATACCCTACAAGCACTTGGTCCCCTGTAGAGGGCTGATTTGGGGATGTGCAGCCTGCAGCTACACTTGGACTACAAAGATGAACGCTCTATGGGAACAAACATAGGGTTCAACAGTATAAATATGTCTCTGACTGAGGCAGAATAGACTGCTCTGGGGAGTAGTGAGCTGCCACTGGAGGTATCCAAGAAGAGATTGGAAGATGCTTTGTTAGGAATGTTGGCGAAGGAATTAGAGAAACAGTGCATGTCCTTGGAGTCAAACATGCTTAAATGAAATCTTGAATTACTCCCTTTGTTGCCTTCATCTTGTTACCTAATCCCTTTGAGCCTGTCTCTTTATCTGCTGCATCAGATAATGCACAACTTCACAGGATTAAATAATTAACTAAATTTACATATGCACATGCCTGTATTTAGACCTCTATAAATGTCCTTTGCCTCCTTGTTCTTGCCTCTATTTCCTTTTACTTTCCTCTTGTCCCACCATCATCTTTGGCCTTCATTTGGGTTTAGTAATTCCTTACTGCTACATTGCCCTTGATTAAGCCCCACTAGGCATCCTACACCCTTCATGCCATTGATTTTAGTTCACTTGTTGTTCCCTTGTCCCTGGGTTGGTTCCCACCCACCCCCTTCCTTCCTCCCACTTCCCCTTCTCCCATATCCTCCCAAAAGAATTAATTAAATTATCTGAAAACAACTGCTGTTTAGTGTGTGCCCAATAAATGGCAACCCCTCATCCAACAGGAGGGTTGGGTTAGATGACCTCTGAGGTCTCTGGGTTAGATGACGTCTGAGGAAGGATGGCTGCCACCCTTCCTGGCTGCTGAGACCACCGCAGGGGTGAGTCTGGGTGAAATACAGAAATCAAGATTAGGTCGATGAAGAAAGGAGGATCCTGAGTGGGGAATGTGCAAAGGTCGCTCCTGTCAGGCTGCTGTTTGTATCATTCTGACCTTCTGGGGTGACAGAGAAAAGCCTGCCTCTGGACTTAAGGTCCAGCCTGAGGGGGTCTTAGTTTTCCCATCTGTGTAGTGAAGAAGGAGGATTAGACGGTCCCTTCCAACACAGACACCTTCGGATCCATGGAGAAGGGAGGAGATGCTGCAAATTGGGGAGCGGCGTGCAGCAGGGAACAGCCTTCGACGCCACTCAGTGCCCAACCCTCTTCAGAACCAGACCCACCTCAGTCTCCAGTCGTACAGTTTCTTTATTGTGCTAACACTGCTGCCTCGGAGCTCCGATCTCACACAATTCAAGCCAGACCCCCACCCCGCCGGGCCCCTGAGGCCCTCTGCTTGGGCTGGGGACGCCGGGCCTGGGACCCCAGCCGCTCTGAGTTCCTGACTCGACTTCCTTCTGCTTCCCAGCCTCAGCGCCGCCGCACCCCGGGGATGCGGGGCGGGCTCCGGGTGCTCTTTCTCTGGCCTCCGCTGCCACCGCCTGCTCCCTGCACTTCCCGAG